GAGTCGTGGGGGGGGGGGGGGGGGGGGCGTGTAGAAAGACACGAGGTGGCACGGTTGCTCTGTCTTTATATTTTCCTTGCTTTTACTTGCTAAACTCAGTGCATAGGATCTTTCAATTAAAAACACTCACGGAGACTGCAGGGGAAGGTGGCTTTTGTGGAAACTGGGGAGCAGAAGAGGGAGAGATGATCAGGAAGCCAACTCTGGGACAGTCTGTCCCTCCAATCCTGAACAGACATTTTTCTCCTGAAGACCAGGCTCCTCCTAGCAGCACAACTGCACCCAGTCTTGAGCACTGTAGGGAAAGGAAGATTCTAAATACCCCGAGGGAGCCCTCTGGGACTGGGTTGAGGGGCCATTTGGTCCTGGAAACTAATACAGAAACACCGCCACCAAGGGGCCGTGTCAGAAATAGACGCTTGTGTAAATACGACTGAAAGCAGGCAGGAAAACAAAGTGGGCAGATTGATCCCACCTGCCTGAAACCAGGGTTGTGGCATATGACACAGAGGAGCGGTGGATCGCTGGGAACTTCAACACTTCTGACTACCTGATAGGAAACTGAGACATGGCAGGCAGAACAGTAGAGAGGGGTCTTAAACCAGCCCCTGTGGGACATTGAAGCTCCACTGAAGCAAACAAACTTCACTTTTTAATTTTTTATCTTTTACTTAAGAAACTAATAATGTTTTTCTTTCACATTATTTTATTTTTTATTATTATTTTTATTTGTTTGTTATTATATTTTTACCTTTCTTTTTTTAATTTTTATTTTTTTGGATTAGTGTTCTACATTCTATTTTTATTTTTTTAATCATTATTTTACTCTATCTCATTTTTTTCTTTATGCCAACACTTTCTTCCTCACTTTTCCCTTTTCATCCTGTTTCTCTTCTCCTGTTCCTGCTTTAGTTTTTCTCTATCCTTTCTTTTTACTCCTTGTTAAAAATTGATCTTCTTTATCTGCTTTATTGATGCATTACTATTAAAGTAGTCTCTGTTGGCCTACTATATATCTAATTTCCTCTCCTCTGCTCCAAGTCCACGAACACTTCTCTTTTGTCTTTCTTTGCTACCCCAATTTTTTTTCTTTCTTGTTGTTGTTTGTTTGATTGTTTGTTAATTTTGTTAGTTTTTTTGTTATTTTTTTTTCCTCTCCTTGCTTCTTCTCTTCTTCTACTAATAGCTTAATTAGTTTCAATCGCCAATTCAGGCCTATCTGCTCTATATTCTCCTTTTCCAAAAATAGATGAATGCATAGATAGAAAGGTTAAAGAAAGGAGAAAATTTATATACATATATATATAAATTTTCTTTTATATATATTTTTTAATTATAATTTTTTTCAATTATTATTTTCTACTATTTTTGAGTATTTTGTTTTTTACTTTTCTTCTTATACATTCATTCTCTTTCTACCTCCTCTATACTGATTCGTGGCCATTTCCCCATTCATTCAATTCCTTTACCTTACCTTCTGGAAATAAGCTTGGACTCTTCAGATTCAGCTTCCCTCCTTCTTTTCTGGGTGCTTGTTGTTTGCATTTTTTGAATTAGTTGTTGGTTTTTTGGAGTTTTCTCCCCATACACATATATTTTTCTCCCCTTCTTTTTTTCTTCTTTTTCTTTTCTCTCTGACCTTTATTCCTTTTCTCAATATCATTTTTGCTCTCTTTTCTCTGCCCTAATTGTCTTTTCTCTGGTGGTCACCTTTATTGGGGCTTATTAGAATCATGAATACATTCGTGAATACATTCCACCACCCCACCTCAGGTACCCTGTATGCCACACCCTGCATTTTGAGCTTTTCAGAGGAAACAAAGGCAGAGGCCAAACTTATGGTTTAAATAGTCTCAAGGAGCCCTAAGGGACTGGATTGGGAGAGTGGCCACCCACCCCAAAATCCTGGGAACCAGACTGATATTTTCCCCCGCACATGGGAAACTGATAAAAACTGCAGGTTTCCAGCCTACCCCACTGGTCTCCATATAAGGATCCCTGTCCAGCAGAGTAATATTTTGGGCCATTCGTGGAGGAGTATCTCTGGTACAGGGAAACACACCCACCATGTTCTCTGAAAGCTAAATGGCACCTGCCCCACCTAACGCTCTTTAAGAAACAGACTATTGAGTGATTAAGATTGACAGCTAGCTAGCAGGCAAAGGCAGGCAGAGTTCGAACTTGGGAAACCAGGGGGAGTTTGCTGGCCCTGTGTCCCAAGTAGATCCTGGGAAAGGATCTGGGGTATTTATCTAAGGTGTCCCTTGAGATAAACTTCAACCGTGCAGGTGTGGGACATTTAAGTAGTTGCTAGCGAAGAGGCTACTCTACACAAGCAGGACCGAAGTGCAGGCATAGGACCAAAAAGACCAGAAGCTTAATTTAACTTTCGAGCGTACACAAAATAATTCAATTAACTGCTGGAGGAATTACACCACATGAAACATATGCAGTTATAAATCACACGGCACTTTATTACTCACACAATTCCTGGTGCTGTGGGTACAGGCTTAAGTGGGATCCCAGTGGTTCTGTCCTCGGGGGTCCAGCAGCTAGGCTGGTCTGATCCGGATATAGGGGGCCAGTGTTCCTCACCCAAGAGCTCGGTCGCATCTCAATCGGGAGGTACTGACTGTTCTTCTGTCGTCTGGCAGAGAGAAGAGCGTGGAGCGGCGTCACTTGCCGGACTGACAAGAGGACATGCCTTTGTGGCTGTCTCGACAGGCGAGCCCCAGGCTGGTCAGGCCCCCCACTTTTAAAACCTGTACCCCATTTGCAGCAGTCCAGGTGGCTATCAATGAATTATGTCAGTGCACACATGTTTATCTCAAACAGGGCGAGCGGCTACATGTGGTTATCTAGGGAGAGTACATCACTCACTCAGCTGGTTATTTTGACAAGTCACTCTGAGTTATTAACTAAAGTTTCAATCCTTATCTATGAGGGACACACGCTTCAGGGCAGTGTGGAATGTGTTCTTAATATCACGCTTTAAGTTTCAAGAAAAGTTAATTTAAACATTTTAAAACCTTCTTAGACATTTTTCAGGAATCCTCAAAGCATTTTTAAACATTTCTCTATATTACTACAACACCCTGCCCTGGGCCCGTTGCTGCTAACAAACCTACTTTAGAGAGCAAATTGGTTCCTCCTTCTCCAGCCAAGGCCTGTGGAGACAGACACAAGTGGTGGATCAGTGTATCGCTTGAAGCTTCAAGAAGGTTGCCAAAAGCCAAAAGACAGTGCCTCACAGTGGTTAACAACTAAGTACCCAACAAGAAGCCCAGAATTGGCAGACAGAAGAGTGGGATCCAAAGCAAGGTCCCATAGGGCATTAAACTTGGCGAAAATGAACTTTTTTCCCTCCTTTTTTTTCTTTTCTCTTTTTCCCTCCCTTTTTTCTTCTCTTCTTTTTTGAGATTTTTGTTTCTTTTTTCTCTTTTAAAATGTATCTTCTTTATCTATCTGCTTTATTGATTTCTTATTATTCTAGTCTCTGTTGTTTCATTCATATGTTTAATTTCCCTCTTCTCATTTCCTACTCAATTTTTTTCACTGAATTTTTTTTGCTTTTATTTTTCTCCTGCTTTCTCATCTTTTTTCTTCTTTCTATTTTAGGTCTATCTATGTTCTCCTCTATTTTCCTTTTCAAATTTTTTTCTTGTCTTGTCATTTCTTTTCTCACTCTTTTATTTCAAACTGTTTTCCTTCCCCTATTTCTCTAATACTTTATTCTAATTTTCTTTATTTCATCTCTGCATCTACATATCCTGCCCCCATTTTCTTGTTCCTTTTTGCTTGTGCATTGTTTGTTTGTTTATTTGTTTGTTTTGCTTTATTTTCTCCTCATATATTTTTTCTTTTTTACTATCATTCTTGCTCTCTTCTCTCTTTCTTAATTCTCTCTTCTCTGGTGGTTTTTTTTGTTGGTGCTGTAGGGGTTTTGTGTATGTTTTTGTTTTGTTCCTTCTATTTCATGTTTTGTTTTATTTTGTTCTGTTTCATCAGCCCCTTTGCAACAGCTCGCATGATGTGCTTGGGGGTAAGCCACATAGTCAGCCAGCCTGAGAGGAGATTCTGTTCATGAATGGGACAATAACATTTAAGACCCAAATACAATAGGAGAACCCAAAAAAGTTCAATGAAGGGCTCTCCTAGAGCACCCAGGTCAGGAGATCTAAGAGACTGCACCATTACAAAACACCTGGTACATAAGACCACCCCACAAAATCTTGGAGGCATAGCAGTTTGATCTAATATTTAGAAACAAAAACAATCTTGCCTCCCTAGCAGACCAGTGACTTTGATTCTCAAGGGACTCTGTTTCTCCTCATGCTCAAGGCCGCACCAAGCACCACAGACTCCAATTCTTGATTCTCGACATGCGCACACGGGAACTCTGATTCCTGGTGCGCACTTGGGGACCCTGATTCTCGGTGAATGCACACAGGGACTCTCTTCAAATTCAAGAATAAACAAAATCAGAAATGAAAGAGGCGAAATAACAACAGACCCCACAGAAATACAAAGAATCATTAAAAAATACTATGAACAACTCAATTCCAACAAACTGGTCAATCTAGAAGAAATGGACATATTTCTAGAAAAATATGACCTTCCAAAACTCAACCAGAAAGAATAAAAAATCTTAATAGGCTAATAACTATGGAGGGAATTGAAGCAGTAATCAAAAAACTTCCAACAAACAAAAGCCCTGGACCACACAGCTTCACAGGGGAGTTTTATCAAACATTCAAAGAAGAAATAAAACCTATCTTCCTCAGACTATTCCAAAAAAATTTAAGAAGAAGAAATACTTCCAAGCTCTTTCTATGAAGCCAGCATTAGCCTAATCCCAAAACCAGATAAAGACAATACAAAGGAAGAGAATTACAGGCCAATATCCCTCATGATCTTAGACACCAAAATTCTCAACAAAATTCTAGCAAATCCAATCCAGCATTACATTAGAAAGATCATAAACCATGACCAAGTGGGATTTATTCTAGAGATGCAAGGATGGTACACTATCCACAAATCCATAAATGTGATACACCAAATAAACAAATTGAGAGATTAAAAACCATATAATCATATCCATTTATGCAGAAAAAGCATTTGACAAAATACAACACCCTTTCTTGATAAAAACTCTCAGCAAGATGGGAATAGAAAAATCATACCTCAACATAATAAAAGCCATATATGACAAACCTACAGTCAACATCATTTTAAATAGGCAAAAACTAAAACCATTTCCCCTAAGAACAGGAACAACACAGGGATGCCCACTCCCACCATTCCTGTTCAACATAGTAATGGAGGTACTAGCCATGGCAATCAGACAAGAAGAAGAAATAAAAGGCATCCAAATTGGAAAAGAAGAAGTAAAATTGTCATTATTCGCAGATGACATGATATTGTACAAAAAAAACACTAAAGACTCCATCAAAAAAATTCTAGACTTAATAAATAAATTCGGCAATGTAGCAGGATACAAAATTACCACCCAAAAGGCTTTGGCTTTTTTATACACCAATAATGACCTCACAGAAAGAGAAATTAAAAAAAAAATTCCATTTACCATTGCACCAAAAAAATTAAGATACCGATACTGTAGAGAAACCAAGATGGAGGCAAAGGAAAACACTAGAAATTGCTGCCTCACACAACCACTTCAAAAATACAACTAAAAGACAAAACGGACATCATCCAGAACCACAGGAAGGCTGGCTGAGTGGAAATTCTACAACTAGAAGGAAAGAGAAAAGCACACTGAGACTCAGAGGAGGTGCGGAAGTAAAGTGCAGAGGTATGGAGGCGCACG